GACTTACATATCTCTGGATGAACTTTGTGAGGTAAGTGTTCCAGATATCATAGACGTTAGGCCACTTGAATAGAGAAATACCCTTTTCATATGCCTGTAACAAGAACAGCACACAGCAAATTACAAAGTTTATTACATCAGTTCTTTAATAAATAAGCACTTTAATAATTTTCTGCTTAACTTCTCCATAAACGTCAGTTTGAAAAGTCAAAAGATGACAAAGTTCATATACCACTGAGGGAGGCCAACTGACATTTCAGATCTGAGAAACTTCCAACAACATCCAACACCATTTTTCCCTCTGGATAAAGAAGAGAAATCCTACCTTGAATGCTTCCTCAAAGTAACTGTGTTCTTCCAGGAACATTCCATAGTTGATAATGATCTGGGGGGTGGCTATTCTGAGATCTATCATACGGTCGTACACTGCTTTTGTACTCTATAAAAAGAATAATAATTTTACAGGAATTTTTAGTTTTCTGGAAATTTTGAAGCATTTTAAATTCACACTTGCACATAAATGCCCACTTACAAAGAAATGTACCAATAAATATGACCGGAAAGTGGGGTGTTATATTTGCGCCCAAACATTGACAAGTTCATGAGGCACAAAGAAAAGAAAAGAAATGCTACTTTCATTTACTTTACTTTTACACACATTTCATATAAGTCAGTACTGTTTTGTATCATTTCCAAAAGCCTGGAAATAAAACCATGAATGGCAGCCACTATCAGTGACTGCCTGGGGCAATGCTTACACGCAAATAGTATCCAGTGTCATAATGCTAAGAATCATCAGTACAGAGAACATGCACATAACAAGTCATCTTTTTCTGCCTGTGTACAGAGATCCCATTTGCACGTAGAAGCACTGGCAAGCACATGATACTGAGCAGGTGAATTTAAAATCAGTTCTCCCCATGAATATGTACCAGGTATAGTGAAATAGAGCGGTTAATCACAAACGACTTGATCGGTGATTTTTCAAAGTGACTGCAGGCTAGTGCAACTTTTATTTGAACCTGGATTTTTGTTGCATCAATGTTTGCTTTATAGTGATTAACAAACTGTGCCTAATTTGGGCTTCTTCTGGACTGACCTTGAAGGTTCCAAAACTTTCCTCCAGATCTGCATACATGGACCACACCTTCAGGTTCTTATACAACCGGTTTTGGACGGGCTCACTCTACACATTACAAAATAATTGCACAAAATCACAATAATTTTGCTAACATTTTAGAAGTACTGCTTGATAAATTTGACTAGAGACACTGTTGGTAGGTCCTGTAAATCCCGAGTTGAAATGTTCTATCCTATCCAGTTACACTCTCTATTTAGCTGTGGGTGTCAACCCCCATCCCCAATTTTACACAAATTATGAATTCCCTACAACTGCTAAATAAAGTTACAGCTTTCAGATGAGGCATCAAACAGCAAAGACTAATCACAAATTACAACTGAAGTGCAGTTACCAGTGCATCGTCTCAGCTGTGTACAAATGTATGTACAACATGCATTCACAATGACGTGATGGCTAATCAATCCAATTCAGCAGCTCCAGCATCAGACGGTCATTTGCATATGACAGAAACCCTATCAATATTGCACTCTCTTCTCCCCGAACACAAACTATGCGCAATCTAAGAGCATGTGTATTAAGCACTTAACCAACCTCTTTCTGTCTTTGTCACTAGGAAGAAATCAATCAGGAAAGCATGGTTACCGTACTTATAATACCTAGCTAGCAACCTCCTAGCAATAATTTCTATAAACCCATTCACTGCTCTCTTAACTTCAGTGGCCCCAAACCTTTTGTCACAACAGACACTTTGCACACCTAGTAAAAGGAAAAAAGCCAAATAAGAATTCTTCAGCTGACCTTATCATAGTAGGCAGCTTTATTCTTTGGTGTTGCTGTTGCTCGCCTGAGAAGAATCAGTGCTGCATCAGAATTTCTAAAGGGCAAAACAAAAGTTGTCCTTGAGAGCTCTTTCTAAAGTACAGGCTCATACAATAACACCAATGCAACAAATAAGCCATTTGCAATCATATGCAGCAAGGAGAGAACCCCCCCTGCTTTGTGTTGGTCATTGTCTCGCAGGAATCTGGGGAATTCCTTTCAGACATCTTGGGGGGATGTGTCAAGTAACAATAGTCTGGAATGTGTATAGGGATTGGACATGTTGGGGGGTACCCCTCGGTCTCATTTCTTGCTGGGTATATTTGCGAGTAACCTTTGAACAAATCTGGTACACTGTGCTATCTTATTTCACATAAACATAACAATTCAAATTCCCCAGACTAAAGACACTGTTGCTATACCTCATGATACGGGGCAAGCTTTTGCTTAGTTACATAAGAGACACTTTGCATCAGTATACTGTTCTCAATGGATGAGAAGGGCACAAAGGAACCAGTCCATTCCAGAGATGGTGGTCGCTATGCAAAAGCTTGCCCCAATTCACAAGGTATAGCAACAGTGTCTTTAGTCAAGGGAATTGTTATGTTTATGTGAAATAAGATAGCAGAGTGTACCAGATTTTGTTCAAATGTTACTCGCTAATGGCTTATTGAAGTTTTATGCGATGAACCAACCACCAGTATGATTTTGTCACAAGCAACCAAAACACTGTCACTTTGTTTAATGAAAAATGTTGCTCCTGACAGAATGGTGTCTTTATGATGTTCTTTATTTTTTTTCCCCCCAACATTTCTAACAGCATATTTCGTCGATAGGTGGGCAGAGAAGATGCATGAAACAATGGACAGACAAGAAAACACTCAAGAAAACAATCTCATATATAGCACTACTTGAACTTTGACCTCTGTGGAAAAGGTTTCAGTAACTACACCAACGATAGCCTAGTGCACAAAACAACGCATGCTGGTCAGCCTAGAAGTCCCCATATGGAAGAACAGTCTGACTCTGTGACACCATTTTTCCAGAACAAACACTTCTCTATAGAAAGCAAGTCACATAGTTTAAACCATAGGCCTCATTCTAACGTAAATCAATTGTAAGTGAGAGTAAACTTCAAAGGTCAAAAGGTCACCATCAACATGACACAGCTCACTGTATACTTACTCATGCCGGAGCTCCATTTCAGCCCATTCACACCACACAGATCCCAAGTCATCCACCTTGACATACAGGACTTTGGTGCCTTTCTCAAAAATCAGACGTGCCTGTGTCAAAACAAGTTAGAGAGAAGTCCATGTGGGGTGAAACTTTCATACACCAGTTTGAGGAACAATTTTATATCTTATGTAACAAGGGTGAGATCAGTGATGCCGAAAATTCCATGACACATCAAGCACACGGGTTGTAAAACATGACATTAATAAACTGCTATGACTACTCAAGACCTTAATAGCAACAAGGTCAGGAGTTCTCTCATAAATGGATGCGATTATATGAATCCAACACTCTTTCTATTCTTTTTATTTTTTATTTATTTATTAAATCTAAAAAATTTGTGAAACTTATATGATTTTATCTCGAAATATAAAAAAAATCAGAGATAGGAATCCAAGCAACCGAGAAAAATCCCCTATGCCAATGCTGCTGTCAGATTCACCACATTTGGAAAACTAGTTTGACGCAAGTCGGCTTAGGGGTTTTGTACATAAACATAAGGAACTTTTCTAACTAAGCAACCATCTCCCTTCAGGTCAGTCAACACAAGCGTGTACTTGTTCACATACATCTGGCACCGAGAACTCCTATCTGTAAGCTCTCAGCAGGACACCAGGCCCCTAGCAGTGCCCATTAGTATGGGTGAACTTTCTGCAAATTTTGACCACCCATGCAAGACTAGCCATCGATGTTTGTCTATTTAGCAGTGAGTCTATCACCCCATTTGTCTGCCTGTGTGTCTCTCTCACTGTACAGGTCTACTCGTTCTAACCTCAGGTAGCTGGCCATGTCTCTCGTAATATTTGGCAAACTCCACCCACAGGGTGTGCAGTTTTCCTGTAGCCTTGTTGGGGTCTACAGTCTGGACTGCTTCTGTGTATGTGTTGATTATCTGTACAAACCAACAAAAAAAACCAAAATTCTTGATACAGGGGGACAAAATGCTTGTTGAGGATCACACTTAACAAGGAAAGGACTAAAACAGGACTGTAATGAGTATACAGAAAACCAACTAACAAAAGCACGTTACCCAGTTCCTTTCTGTTCTATTGCATAACCTCACACCTTTTTTACACATTCGAAAGACAACCTTTTTGAAACGTAACCACAATTCTTCAATGCCCATAAACATTTAATCTGTACATTTTTTTTACCTCAAAGGATGTCCCCCAAATACGATCTGTGGACAAATATCCACCAATTCATGAGAGTTTTCAAAAAAACCTTAAAAAAAGTGGAAATTCTAATCTTTACAAGACTCTGTGAAAAGTTTTTCGGCTTTCAATGGCATGTGTGTGAAAAATGAAGACATCAGCTGATCCCAAAAAAGGTTGCATGTCTGTTTACTTGTGTAATGACACTCACGTCTTTTGGTTTGCCTTCAAAGAGGTTGACCCTTTTGTGCCACTCATGGACGTTGTGTGGATTCTGACGGAGAAGGACACTGTTCAACAACAGAGGGCGCCGGTCCATCAGATCCTCATAGCGCTCAAGTCGCAGCTCCAGATCAGTATCATCTACAGGAACAAAGTACATATTTTCAGAGATGGTTTCACAAGTTTTGTCAAAGGTCACTTGGAGTACTGTCACATGTACATTCATTTCAATTAGTGAGTGAACAATAACAAAGAAATTTATATTATATTAAAAAATAACTTGTGTCTTTTATTCCGCTTCAAGCAGAAGCACCCCCTCGTCGGTTGAAAAGAACCACGTTGGTCAGGAGTGTGTTTATTTCTTGGTAGTGACGCAGCTGTGATGCGTGCATTTCTTAGTCGTTTGTGAACCAGCAAAGTTCAGTTCCTACCCAAGGAGCCTCTGTTGCTAGGAAAATAGCGCCCTCTCTTTGTCCAGCTCAAAGCCCTCAGGGCCGGCGACCATTTAGACCCGGTTTGAAAAGGGCCCCCCAGGTAAGCTTGCCCTGTTGCAAAAACCCCTTTCATACCGGCCTGGCTACCAGCCTGGGATGCTGGACTGGTTGTTGATCTCGAACTTCTCCATCCTGGGGTCTATTGTTTGCAAGTACTGGTACATGTAATCTATCCAAGAAGGAACCTGCTTGTGGTTTTTAATCCTTCAGCTCTATACAATGTTTACACTAATCCGCTTAGACCCCTATTCATCTGTGCAAGCATGGTGGGGGAAGCCTTTCATCAGGGACTTTGAAATGCTGATGTACAGACAGGCCTGATACCGGCCTGGTGTAGCCTGAATACCGGGCAGGCATTATACCGGGTGGGCTACCGGGGGGGGGGGGGCCCTTTTCAAACCGGGTCTAAATGGTCGCCAGCCCTTCAGACTGAGGCACTGGTGACACAGTTGTTCTAAGTTCTGGGATTGAGGTGTCTTCTTTGCATCATTTTTGGTTTATCAATCTTCTGGACTTGCACCCTAAGGTGCCAGTTCATCCTTCAGACCGATAAGTGAAACAAATTTCGCATAACAAAACGTGTGCAGGGAATCTTGCCTGAATTGAAATGTGTTCAACTTATGAGCATCTGGAACACCACAAAATTGTCTTCGTGTTCACTTTCATGCCAAGTATAAACTGGCCTTAACACTAGACCTCTTTGCATCACATCACTAAGGAACATCTTTATCACTGCATTGGAAAGCAACCCAATTTGGGAAAGCTTCGATACTTTGGTCACCTTTGTAGAAGAAAAGGAGATAACCTTGACAAAATAATCGTAAGGATTACGATTGGACTTTCGAAGGAACACTTATGCGTCACAAAAGAGCAGACTCAAACTCAAATAGACAGATGAGTTTGGGGATAGCACAGGCTTAACACTCAATGAACTTTCACTGACGGGCAAGAGACCGCTTTGGAAAGCCTTAACTTGGGTCAGTCCTGACTCACACATCAATGATGACAAACATTGAAATGTCTTACCTTCTTCATTGTGTCCCATTTCTGCGGTAGTGTCCATCTTAGCACTGATCATGCTCTCCTCAAACTGAGCATAAGCATCAAACACCTGAACATAACAAGAAGAAAAATGGAGGTGCAGGAAAACGAAGGAGGCATCAAAAAGAACACTCTGTGCATGTTCTGGCAAACAAGGTATACTTCTGCTTGTCACTGACTCAGAAGCAAATTCATAGAGAAGAAAGCGCTACTGCTAATTGAAAGTTTTACAGACATCCGTCAGGTTGCTCCAGCAGAGCTTTCCAGTGGCAGGAAAGCCTCTCGTTTTCAATAAAAATGTAGCCTGGCTGAAGTACTGGACTGTCTGTTTGCACTGCTGCAGAGTTCAGTAACTTCAAACTGATGCAGGTTCACATTAATTGCTGCACGGCAAATAGGACTCTACAACAGATCCACTACCACAGAAACTGGAATGTTATTTACCTGAGTGAAATCTCGGACAGTTGTGACAGTCTGAATGGACTCCTCATAGATGTCTCTGGCCTGGAATGACAAAGTAAAGCATGGTTCGTTTTCATAACTCTGCTTGAAAATCATACTGAAAAGATTACTCCTGAAACACACTTGTTACACTGCACCCCATTTGATTAGTCTAAATATATGGTTTCCATTATGTGCTATGTATACAAATCAAAATGCCTTCAATATAACAAGTGCATGTACATTTAACAATTACTGACTGCTGAAATGCCAGACAGGACGTTTTAACATCCAATGGACTCAAGGCACCCAAGGCGGAGCTGAGGGCGCTATGCGTTCCCATGCATGCACTCAGTACATCAGCACATCGACTCTACATCTTCATTCAAACTAAAACTGTGTGGTTTAGGGGTGTTGTCACAACTCTCATAAATTCACGACCAGGTCAAATTCTCCCACGTGACTGACCCCTTTTGCTGTGTTTTGTATCATAAACAGGCTGGTATTTACAATTTAAGTTCATGTACAATGAATTTTTAAAACTTGTTGAATCTGTGCCAAAGGTCCTATGTGTAAATATCCCATTGACGGACCTTTTCAAAATGGCCGCTCCTGATGTAATAATCGGCCAATGAGCACCAGAGTTTCCCCCGCTCGTCTGTGAAGCGCTTGATGCCACCGCGGATGATGGGGTCTACCTTCAGCGACGTCACCTTGGTAGGGTTCTTGCAGATGAGGTTACACAGGTCATGCCAGAGCTGTTAAGAAGGCAGGATGTGTTCATGAAGAAATTTAGAATTTGTGAATTAATTAAACCCAGTTCTCTGAGGCTAATTATTTTGACAGTAACTGGGACACGCTAGAATCCTCCATATAAGGTATATCAATGAATGCAAAATCAGATCAGCTAAGACTCCAAATGTAGCCAGTTGAAGAGTGCTCACTTTCTTCATCATGCCTTGCTCCTGTAAAATTCAGTTGAATGAATTTCAACTTTTAGATAAAAACCAAAAATATTAAAGACTAACAAAGATGAGGAAAGAAAAAATTCTGTCGTCTGCAAGGGTGGCTACAGATGTCTTTTCAGCCACTGACCTGATGGTTGGACTTGCCAACTTTGGAGACGAATGCTGCATTGTTGACAAGGTCAGCCATTCTGACGGCAGCCTCATCCAATCTGTCAATGGACACCAGGTACTCAATGTATTCCTCTGCATTCTCTGGAAAGAGCTGGTAATCACATAGAATGTGAAATTAGTTTTGTTTAATGAGCAAATAAATCAACAACTGAAGTTATCACTGGGCTTGGGCAACATGCCTTTAGAGATGAAAAACGTGAAATTCAATCATAACCATGAACTTCTTCAAGTGAACTCTGTGTAGTATACATTCTCATTTCCTGAGAAGTGATTCCTAGCCATCAAATCCACCATCAAATCCACTAATTCTTGTGTAAACACATGGCACACGAAACACTTTAAAAAAAGACTATCAAGCACATGTACATTCAGTCTGCAGCTGCCAATGCCTTTACCGACCATTTGGCAATAATCCACATATTCAAATTCTTATGGGCCAATCTACATGACTGTTAATATATAGTACATGTAAATGATTACAGAGACTGCCTTGGCCACAGGTTTGTCAATTCAAGGCAGTAAATGACAATTTGAAAAAATAGTTTCAAAGATCAGGCTACACTAAAAAGAAACAGAATCTAGTCTTAATAGCGTATCGTGCAACAGTTTCACAAAGTCACACTCTTTAACCTTTGACCTCAAGCTTCCAATAACGCCAGAAAAAACACAACCACTCTGAGGCTAATATGAGTTTAAACCTTTCGCTTAGACCGCAAACTACGTTTCCCATCGTGCTCTCTCAGACTGTGCTTTCTACGAATTATTTTTGAAAGGGAAGACGAGACAGGACCCTCACTTTTAAGTATCTTCGGTACACTCTGACAGCTGTCTCATGCAGTGGATAGAGCTTGACAAACTTGAGATAGAGGGGCCAGATGCGATGATGTTGGCTGATGGGCAATGCCCGTAGAGCTCGGTCAAATGTCCGCCGGACTCGCGGGATCTTGCGTTGGTCCAGGAGGAACTGGCAGTAGTCCAGCCATATCCGAGGCATCTGGCAAACACATAATTAATTACATGTATGCGATAATTACACAGTCACCTCTAATCTTTTGAATATTTTAAGTTTTCTTAGAATTTTGAAGAGAACTAAACAGTTTGTTTAAGTCCCAATCCTTTGTTCTTCATTGTTTTCAATCCTGATAATCTATGGTTACCGTTATAATGAGGTCATCTGCAAAGTCTGAAGGGCCTCTTTCTGATGAGGATTGACTATGCACACCATTCACCGTAATGCTGTTGCCAAGTAGACATCTTGACCCGCATTATTTTGAAGGTTACAGAGGGAAGCTAAGCCAATCGAGTAATGAATTCAAGGCAAGGAGATGGAAATGGACAGGACACAAATGGATGACAACAGTCACTGTTGTCTGACAGCACTTTTCTGGGCTCAAAAGGCAGTAGAATGTTGAGAGCATGAGTGGCATAATGCATCTCTCTTCAAAGTAAAATTGATTTACAATTTAAAGATGGAACACGAACATCGTACACAAACTGGTCAGACAATTTTGACTAGAACTTTAGCAAGAGACCTCTTAATTACCCCATCTTGAAAATAGGGCAGATTTGATTGAGTAGGGAAAACATACTGGGTGTCTTAATGCACATGATCCACATTGGATCCATGACACCACTTTTGAATTTACTCAATTAGCACAATACGCAGAGTGATGTATGGACCAGGCCATGTGAAATAACACCACTGTTGTTGCCATAAGAAAGATGAATATTCAAACACATTATTAGCATGTACCTTGTGCATAAACACCAGAGCTCTTTCAAACACATTGTTGACATCCTCATACCCAGGGTCAATGATGCAGCGACCTTTGACATGCTTCCGTCTGATCTTCAAGTAGTTGTACCATAGTTTGTAACTGAGGAAGTAATAAACATGAGAAAGGTACGCAGAGTTAACAGTCAATTCATTTCTGAGATTTTCAACTTTGTTCTTGTTTTGTTCTGCATGGATCTTGATAAGACTAAAATTCTGAGAAATTGCACTGTGCGGACCTTTCTTGGACGGCATACCATTTGCATGGGTGGCCAAAGTTTCCAGAAAGCTCACCACTGACTGGCATATGTTTCCTTCAAATTGTAAATCTGCCTCATTAATATTACAGAGGGAAGTACATGTAGCAATATTTAGTAGTAGTATTTATTATTGGGTGTTTTAAGCTGCATGACACAACACTTTGTAAGTTATCCTTTTGTTTTGCAGCGACGGCCAACCATAGTTTGCCAACTGCTGCTAAGCAAAAACTATGACCAAGCAAGAGCAAGGTTCATTTGTGACTTTTAAATTTGTATTCAGATGTGAACAATCTCATGTAAGTGCAGGGGTTCCAGCCATCAGTTGGATCTATCGCTAAATGATGAAAATCTTTAAACTCTGGGCACAATCCTGAACAACTGGCCAAAAAACAAATAACTGCAGTGAACTGTATTAGAACATTTTTGGCTGTAAAAATGAGCTTTCTAAGTAAAACCTGTGGCTATTTACAATAGTTACCTGGAGAACAGCAGGTACGACTGTGGGTCTGTTTGTTTCACATGGATCTCGATCAGTGACCCCAACGCTGGCTCGTTCCATCCATTAGGCAGGTTCTGGAATAAGTGAACGGATCACTGATCACACGGTCCAGATCTATGTGAAACAAACAAACCCTACGAGACAGCCACCTACCTTCCAGGCAGCTCTTTCAGTGCCCTCTCATAGATGAGATTGAGGGCGCTGTGAGATCCTGCTGATTTGTGCTCAATGTACCGCAGCCAGCACTTGACAGCATATGGGTTCCGCAAGATCTCCTCTTCATAGGGAAGATCATCTTCCTCCTGCATGTTGGGAGAGTGCAATGAAATTGTTACGCCCCAACTATAGCATCAGTCCCAACTATAGTTGGACCCGTCCCAACTAGAATGCTACAGTTGGGCCGGCCTAACTACAGCAGAGAGGTCCTGCGTGCATGTGTCCAGCATGCGCCAAAGTCATATCATTTACAAATGTCATGTCATTGGTCATAGGGCTAGATGAAGAAATGAAGTGCCACATTTTAGATGAACTGCGTCAAGTGTGAGACACATTGACTTGGATAATGTTGAGACATTTCCAACAGACATTGGTCAACAATAGTTGGGACTTATGCTATAGTTGGGACGTAACAAAATCAATATGTTCTAGTAATTCCGACAAGTTGCATCACTGGAGTTTTACTGTTTTACCTGTCACAGCACATTGTATTTGTTGATTTGCAGAGTCCAACTTATTCGGACTAACATGCATGACGGTATAGTCACCAGGTCCCTTATTTCGCCACTTTCTGTAAAAACCAATCAGACTTGACAATAGCTGGCAAAATTAAGGACCTGGCAACTATTCATGGATGCAACTTTGCTTGACCTCGGGTCAGTGTGAGGTGAAAACAAATTTTACTAGGCCTACATTTTATGTTTCTTTGCATAGCAAAAGTGCATTCACCTCGGGTTGTTTTCACCGCGCTGGCCGAAAGTCATGCACAAGTCACCTCCTCCTATACCATCGCGCATATTACATCAGATAATGACCATGGCATGGAAGAACATGATGAAAGATAGTGGATGATGGAATGGGGCAGCGAGGACATTGGCAGTTTCCCAAAATTATTAGCAACCACACCGCGCTGATGAAAACAACTACAAGGAGCGCACACGTACGTAATGACATGACTGAACAAAAAACAGACTGTGTAACCCAATCCTCGGACTGGCTGGTGCATGCGTACGTCGCCATGGTCATTGTTTTTACTGGGGCGGTACCTGCCATTTTGAGAAGCCCAGATGTCCGCGCTGCCCCATAGGCCTAGGTTAAGAAATAACAGTGAAAACTTGGCCTTGGACACAATTCTATGATTTTTAATCCAATTAAACAAATGTTCAAAATAAACATCTTCCACATAAGGCCTAGGCCTTATAGCATCAGTCCCAGCTATAGTTGGGCCCGTCCCAACTAGAGTGCTACAGTTGGGCCAGCCCAACTACAGCAGAGAGGTCCTGTGTGCATGATGTGCCCAGCATGTGCCAAAGTCATATTGTTTACAAATGTCATGTCATTGGTCATAGGGCTAAGTGCCACATTTTTTATGAATTGTGTCAAGTGTGAGACACATTGACTTGGATAATGTTGAGACATTTCCAACAGATATTGGTCAACAATAGTTGGGCAAGCCCAACTGCAGCACTACAGTTAAGACTGTCCCAACTATAGTTGGGACTTATGCTATAGTTTGGGCGTAACAGCTGTACTGTACTGTAGTGATGAGTGTAAGCCGTATCGGTTAGCTAGGCCTCGCTGCAGGTGCTTGGCCACACTGTACACAGCACAGTCGAGTCCAAGCCATCCTAGATCCTACTCTACTCACAAATATGACTTCTGATGGCTGATCTAAAATAGGCATCGTCTTTCAATAATGGCATTCTTTCATAAAATTTACTGACAAATCAATTTCCCTGTCAAAGTAAGGGAAACCGGAATTATTGTTTTCACAAATCCCAAAGATCAACGACTTGTAGACGACATTCACTCCAGACTTATCGTCCTGTACGTAAAAGGATCCGAAGAAAAAGGAGTCTCGTACCGGTACCGCATGAGGGCGCTGTTGAATAAGAAATCAAACTTGCATAAGTCCTTCAAGATAACACTGTCCGCGATTTTGTGTGAAATTGTCCTAGAACTCCCTGTCGTTTTGTATGCGCACAGATTAAAAAAAATGTCCAAAACCTCAGAAAAACTGAGGTGAAAATAACCGTATTATTTGTCTTGAAATAGATCTCTCACTACTAAAGACACGTAGTAGCCTGTTGAAGAGCGCCATAATCGGCATTCAGTATCCAAACACCTCGAACGCCACTAATAAACAGGTGGTTTTTGAAGGGAGAGTACATTGTTGGAGCTACATGTAAGTGGAAAGCACATAGACGCTATTTCCTACCGACATGTAACTATGGCCTGCTAAAATTGCTGTGGTTGGATGAGCAAAGGAGTGGTTCAAAACTTTCTTTAGCCTTATCTTTCCTTTTCTAAAGATTCCAGCTTTGAAACTACCCCAGAGGCCGCACAGGTCGTCCGGACTCCTTGGACGGAAGGCATAAAGAAAGGACTGAGTGGGTGACCACGGGCCGCTAAAACTCCATAAAGGAAAACAAAATTCAGTCTTAAAAATGTTTAGAGTGGTAGATGGTCCTTTGAATGTCTAACGTGCGGGGGCGGCCAAATTCGCTAGACCATCGCGTAGCAAAAACCACCTCAAACGCGACGAGTCGATGAAAAAGAGGACGCAGGAAAATGAGATCGGTTTAACTAATAACAGATACTAGCAGCTGTAATAGGGATTTATAAATGCTGAATGTTGATAATATGACAGGTTTTAAGGTAACTTTGCCCCGGCCTTGTCTTCCGACACTACTAAGGTAATATTTAATATCTCTAAGGTTATTATTTGATTCAGAAAAATTGGAATGTCTATGCATGATGAACGCTTACAGGAATGCTAAAAAATGGTCTTTCTTGTCCCCACGCTCTGTGCTGTACTTCCCTGCTGTGTAGCGGGGGAACACCTCAAACATCACAGTTCTATTTTTGAACAGAGGAGATAGGAGGTTTAGGTGTTGAAAACGTTCCAGGAATAAATGACAAATCTCTAATTTTTTAGAGTTGCTTATTTTCTACTCAGACGTTGGGTGACATTACTGGTGGTGTGACTTTTTCCGCGGACATTGCTCAGGGCAGCTCTTCATGCAGTAGAAAACCTTCGGTGAATCGAAACCACCTGTAACAATTGTTGATTGGGATTTAATGGAGAGAGACATTATGCATCTCACTTTTCCTCCATCGGATTAAGTTGCATCAAAACAAAAACAAAGGACCGTCAGGATACGCGAATTATAAGACCCTTTTTTAAAACCACCTGTGGCGTTTGGGGCGATTTCTTAATTTTCATTTTGGGGGACAGGGTGTTGTGGATAACTGCCTTGCCTCAAGAGAATGGCACAAATCTTCAAGACTAATTGTAAGTTTAAGCTGCTCTGTCTATTTCCATTTCCTGGCTCGATATATAACAGCCGCCTGTCTCGAATGCACCTTTATTAGATCAATCAACCTTTGACATTTGATCCGGTTTCGCGGCCAGGTTTCCGCTGAACGGCGTGTGATGAGTGTCATAATTAAAGTAACCATTTCTACCGATATTAAGCACAAATTTCGGGAAATACAGCCATTCTGTCTAGGATTCATCTAGGCAAAAACAAACACCCGACATGTTTCACTCTGTGGTAGCTTGCAATCTGTGGCGTTTGAGATGGTTTAAGTTGACGTGGTTCTCCGTTGAGGGCGCTCCACAACAAGTCACCAAACGGCAAAGCGTCGGGGAAGCCAAGGATGGGAACAAAGGTGGGGAAAAATCAATAAATTGTGTTCCCATCCGTTGGTTTCACGGACTCTTTTGTTAAATGTGCCCTCAGGCTGTTTATTCAGAAGGGGCAAGGAAATGAAACATAACACGACTTTCACCCAAGGAATTGGGGAATAATCTCAAATCGACCTGTGGCGTTTTTTAACGTTTGCGGTGGTTTCTCTACCAAGTTCGAATTCTTACTAAACGGAGTGTTATGAGTCGTGGTCTCAGAAAAATATCAATGCCATCCATCTTTTAAAACAAATTTGAAAATACAATCTCTGTCGATTTACTTATTTCTTGCCAGATATCAATCCCCAACGCTGTTATCAGCCGCACTGCCGCCCCCTCGTCCCAACCTGTGGTGTTTGAGATGGCTTTCGCCAGCACGGTCTACTAATTATAAACTGTACTTTTCCCCCCAAATTACCGAAGAATCGGTCCGAAATTTGTATTTATTTTATTTCGGCAGTGAAAAAATCTCAGAGAGATGCATAACGTTATCATGGGCACAGCATCGGCACAGAACCCAAGTCGACCTGAGGCATATGAGATACTAAGACACGATTTTAATAAGCTGTCCATTAACCTCATGGACACACCTTAATTAAAACCAGCACTGTTGATACGTTCGAGTCAGTGATGGTCCATCTCTGCTGTTGCCGAGTGTTTACAATAACAATTCAGAAACAGGGAGATGATATGTTTCTTATATATATATTTTATTTTAAATCTTCAGACATTTCAAATAAGATATAAAAGGTTGAATATGGGCTGTTAATGACAACACACAAGTAACACAACTACCATCAAAATGTTGCGTACATCCAGGACCCTGCCAAGGACAGAAGTTACCAGTACATAACATGGATAAAGCAATACCGTTGCACTAAACTTAAAATGAGAAAGTAAAATCAATGATAGCAAATTAAATACAAGTGAAACCATCTATGTATGAATATTGCTAAATGACAAAACATAAAAGGAGAAATCATAAAAGGAGAAACAGACACATAAAAAGATAAACAGGACAATACACAGTAGGGCAAGGCAACTGAAAAGACGACCGCAGGGAAAAGCTGCTACAGACAAAACGGCTTCCTACACAAAAGCGACCTGTTGCGTTTGAGGTGGTTTTACCGTGGCACCTATGGTTGTACGGCACAGAGTGTCAGATGAGTAAAATTATCATGTCATCAGTAATCAGAATATAGATACCCCTCTTGCGGTTGTTTATATCTGGCATTTTTGAACTAATCTATTCCTTGTGTTTTTTCCGAATGGACCTGTACATGTGGCGTTCGCAATATATGGCGGAGTACCACACATATTGAATTTGGCCAACATACCAGCCCTTCTAAGGTCAATTCACATTTCTACACGTTTAAGGCCGGTGTTACTCTTTCTTTTCCTTTCATATCCAGTAAGTGTTTTCGTTATGACCCAAGTGTTATCTTAAAACGATTTCCCATTGTGCTAAAGTGTCTCACCCGCTACCTAAATAGTAAATTTCAATAATAGGGAGTCACACACTCTAATCGCAGATTCGGGGCAATCCGAGGTAATGACGTTCAAAACGCTTTTGCCACATCATCAGCATGTAACAGACAATTAATCAAATTTTATGGGCAATATTTCCAAGGAGCAGGGCTAGTGACAAATTCTGCATGGAGAATGCAGGATAACGGTAACCCTCTCGTATAGTCTCCTTTACCATTTTTTAAACTCCAATTTACTTCCCTGACTCGATTTAAAGGACATGCAAAATGACTATACAAGTTTTTAATGGAACAAGTTAACGATATTATTATCAAAGCATAAATACCTAGGCCTATAGTTACTATCGAATCAATGGACAGATTTAATAATATTCAAAGTGAAGGCTGTAATGTTAATAATAAACAAAAACAAGCATCACACTCACTAAATTTATGGAAGTTTAATTTTGATCACGAAATACGTGATACTGCAGCCCTCGTGTGGGATCATTGATCTCCATTAACTATTTCAAGGAATGCAAAATTACTATACTTATTAATATTTTACCTAGTGAAGCAAACTAGGCCTGGTTATTATCGTGAAGTCTGTCAAACATGTATCACACTCGCTAAACTAATGCAAGTCTAATTTCGATCACGAAATGCATACTGCCCTCGTGCGACACGATTCCCTCTATGTTCGGAACCTTTTGGGTCTCTGTTAGCGGTTGACCAATCAGAGACCGCGACAGAAACAACAGATTGGTGGCAGTATTGCTCGCGTGTATTAAATTGTAGACATTGGGCATCGCTCGATTGAAATCGTGTAAAATTGCGCCACCGTGCACATCAAATGCAGTTCGAACTTCAGAGGGACGGGCATCAGTGAATGCCTACATGGTAAGTTTTAGCCGTTTTTACTTATTTGCGCTTGTGTAAAAATTTTAAAGTTGACAATGGGGATAAAATTTCGGGACCACTTTTTCCCAGAACTGTAAGGGGGGGGGGGTGTTGTTCCCAACCGTGTCATGTTGGTTGTCCGCCGCGGACGATCCGACGGACCCCACAGAGTCATGACACTGTCATGACAGCTCTGGAGTCCGGGTACATGTACATTGTATGCATGGTACTTGGTACTCATTTTACATGTTTTAATGGTAGGTCTAGCCCAGGTGGATTACCCATGCCTGACTTTACTACATTACGGAGGGAGTCCAGGATAACAGTGACAGTTGTAGGCCTATAGTATAAAGGGTGCAAAATTGGGTGAATTTTCAACACTTCTGCCTTTTCCCATGTTTCCAACATGTCCAAGGAGCCAATTTCACACCTGTAACTCCTATGTGTCCTTATGTCCACTGCTGGTGGGATAAGAAATTCGACACTTCACCACCAAAGACAAAAACGGGAAAATATAGTCGGACGTAACATTACATGTGTAATTCTTGCCATTGTTGTGGACCATTTTAAGCAGTTCTCCAGTGCAGTTCATACAGTGTGCGTGCGCAACTATTCGGCGTACGAGTTTCCAAGCTGCGTAGGCTAAAAATGACATGAACAAAGACCACTGAAACGCATCCACTGAAATAAACATTGCGATAATTTCAAACGTTCTTGTAGAGTGTCCTGTCATTGGTACATGTAACTGAAAGTTTCATCAGAAAATCGATCTCTAATTGGTCGAGATGAGCCAAACTAAGTATTGAAGAAAACAGGCAGACTGTGCATACAGTGCCTTGCACACATCCACATGTTTAGATCCGTCAGAAGTTGGAAAATATAGCCATGGCCTTGGTTCTATACATGTGTATGATACTTTCAAACTTGCTTGGTAGAGTATCTCTGATGGGCTACTGGAAAGTTTCATTGGAAAGCTGATCTCTGATTTGTCGAGATAAGTGGATTGGGAAGTAAGTATTCCGAAGAACAGCCAAACCTCATAGAGCATTTTTGAATCCCTTTTCTTGACAACATTTGGGTTGACCCGACACGAGAACAGCGGTCGCAAACGAGTGTGACGAACTGACCCGAAAGAGTGTTCGCGAATCAATTTTTTCACTCCCTGGTTGTTGGAGGGTTGAGCGAGGTGCAGCTAGAACAAAATGATGGACTATGCAGAATATATTCAAATGTTCTGGTGGACAGACGAAATTGAGATCTGAATTCTGATTCCCATATGGCGGGAATTGCCTTTTTGGTAAACCCATGAATTCTCGTTCTCTTCTCTCCGGAAAGAGGGACTGCTATGAGTATGAAGACCATATTTTGATCTGTTTACATTAATCTTCTGAATCGTCCTCAAATAAGTGCAGAATCCGAGGTTTGTCTGCAATTTCGCATTGCTTTGTCTCGAAATGACACGCACAGTCTGCCCGTTTGTAATAACCTGCTCAAGAACACCATTCCGGTGTTACTCGAGTGTAGTCAAGAACAAGGATTTGAAAATGCTTGTGTGTGTGTCAAGTTGACTGTCAGACTTTGCATTTACTGGTACATGTACGTTGACAGACATAAGGTAAGAAAGTTCCACTTTTCTCCAGATTTACTCTTCCAAACGTAACCCAAAATAGGGTCATTACAATTAAGAGACAATGCCGGAGTTATGTTCTTTTTCAGGGCCACATAATATTAGTAAACTAAACACAGGAGTCCTGAAATTTACAGTCCTGGGGATTAATATACCCATATGGGATGAAGGAACTTATAAAGTTGTAATTTCTGTTGGCGTGATCACGGAGATTCTGAGTCTGACTCTTGAGTTGTCACTCAGGCCTCGATTGCCTGTAATCTTATGAGTCATCAGTCGTGACTCATAAACTATTAGGGCTGTGCCAAATATCCGAATATTTGATCGATTATTGAATATTTGATTATTATTTTTTGAATTCAAATATTTGAATGCAAAATTAAGGAAAAGGAAGGGAAGCATTTTTTAAATGGGGAAAAATGGTACTATTGTATCTTGTTTCAAGCATATTCCAGACACATACTTTGTACATGTACATGTACATGTATGTCCAACAGTCCAATGTCGAATTTATCCTAGAATATGGAAATAGCTTTTTAACAAATTAATATGAATTTGCCAAGATAGTAGTCTTTGTAATAATGGTGCATTGATGCATACTTTGTTGAAAAAAGTATGATGAAACCGTCATGACAATATTTGAATTTGAAAATGAATGACTGGAGGCCCGAAGAGGAAGATGGCTGCATCAGACAAATTGTAATGGTCTCTTGGGGACCACAAATTGTGGTGTCAGAGAAGTTTTTGGTGTTAAATCTTTGCAAACTCGTGGCTGGAAATAGTCCTAAAGTGAGAAGCTACCGGTATTATACATGTACATGTAGTGATTATAATGTACAATCCATTATTGCAACTGATTTTGTATATCGTTTGTTCATCAACAATCTGCCAGCCGGTACGACTGAATAGTCAAACATTCATTTGAACTGAAAGACAAATATATTCAAAAAATCACTTATTCAATTTGACTCGGCCCTAATCGCTATCACTCATCACTATTACTGGCCTACATGGAGAACTGGAGGGCACCACTGGCTTCTAGCCTGGCTAACATGAAAGATTGCTCTCTTTTAGATGCTGGTTGACATGTCAACTTGGCTAACTCTGAAAAGCTTTGATAAGAGCTGTTTGTGCTTGTATTTTTGTAGTCTTCTTCACATGACTGCTCTGTGCAGGTGACTGCAAGCTGACAGAGGGCCTGAAGCTTTCAGGGCGCCACTCATGCACATGCTCTCTCCCACAGCTGGAACATATGCCCCTGCAGCTGCCCTGCACTGATTCCCTGCTTGCTGCGCATCTTCGACTCCTGCATAACAAATATGTGGATGTTGATGAGCTTTGCTTCTGGTTGAAGAAGTGCAATTTTTTCAGTGATCAATTTGGCCAAGCAAAGTTTAAACTGGGCATATCACGCAAGGGAGTTGGAAATTGCAGTTTACAGAGGACTATGAAGAGAGCTGTGTCATTTGGTTATTTTTATAATTATGATTTAGTTCCTGGTTATGACACCAAGGATTCCTCAACTGATGAGCGCCCTAGGCACTGTAAGCTCGCAAGCCTTGAAGAAATCTGTAGAGATGAAACAATGAAAAACAGTTACAGTTTAAGAGATTGGAGGAAAACTCCAGAGGAACATTCTGGATAAAAACCCAGGGAATCAGGTAGAGACCGAAAACCCAATCTACGTGTACCGGTACATGTGGACAGGGCCGGGAATCGAACCCGGGACCACAGAGGTGGAAGGCGAGGAAAGAACAACTACATGTACAATGTATGCCAACTTGCCCCCCAAAAAGATTTGATGGTAAACATGAATTCAAAATGTGAGCTCCCAAGAGGTATTAAAACTTCCTCACGTGGGGTGTGACAAATTAGCATTCTAGTACATGTACCTTATCATACATGTACATGTAGCTCTATGATCCACTCAACATGTAAGCTCACAACAATTCTCTTACCAAAACTATTGATAACATGTACTCTCCAGTAAGGTAAACCCCAAGATTTGCGGAGTTTTGAGAAAATATGGGGTTGGAGTTTATCCTGAGTAAAAGGAAGAGGAACACTGGTACGGTACATGTACCACAGTACATGTGCGGGTGCATATTAACTGCTACACACAAGAAAACACATTCACTCTATGTCACTGCTGTTTCCTGTTGTACATGTGTACATGTATTTACATGAACATGTAGCAGGAAAAAGCTTAATAGAGTGTTCATACATGTGTGTTATGTAGTGTGAGCAAACAGAATATTTTCTCCACGTTTTCAAAACCGCATGAAAATAAAAAGAATGTGCAGGCTAGAAATATTTGAAGAATGTCTCACTCAGACCTTCTGTGTGCACATGCATTGGACATGTACATGTACATGTATGCATGTGTACTCTTCTCATATTCCTTTGTGGTAGGGAAGTGCATGCAAATTAAGATGAAATTACTCTTTTCAAATTTACGTACTTGTTTCACTTTTTTACAAATGAATGCTGGTTTGTGAGGATGTTACTTTTTAAAATGGTACTTGCACCGGTACCAGTATGCTTCTGTGTGGGATGACATAGTTTGTTAGTAAACAGCCCTACTACGCAGTAATTTCCAGTAAAAAAAAAAATCCACTGCAAACAAATATTGCCATGATGTCCAGCTTTTTCATCAGAGGTAATGGTTGTATTTTCTGAAATTTACTGATAGGAGAACATGTTATGCTTCAGCGGCAAAGCAAACAAGCATTCAGCATACTCCAACATCTGTCAGTTTGACTTCAACTCTCCTTTAATATTAAAAATAAATTTACATGTAACACACAAATTGTGAATATGAATCCCCATGACTGAATATGCTTCAAGGTAATTTACACGTACATGTGCTTCTGTTACTTATCTAGTGACCACCTCAGGCTTTTGTATTGAATTTTACCTCCTCAAACTTCACAAAATAGACAAAGATGGAAGGAAAAAGCAAGTTAGATATTTTGACATAAATCACTTGTAAATCATTCAGAATAAGGAAGGACACAGAATGCAAGATCAATTTATCTAAGAGGGGAAATTTGGAGTACAGTAAATGTACTATTAGACTAAATAGAATTTATGTAAGGCTTTATAAAACACATGCTTTTGTTTTAGGCACTAGAATTTTGGCAAAATTTGTTGAACCACCTGACTCATACATGTATCAGTACCCCAGGGGAAACCAGGACATGTTTGTAACATTTACATGTACATGTACACCTTGCATGCTTTGTAACATTAACCCTACTTCCTTTTGGCTTTTTCACTGAGGACCTTCCTGAATCTTCTGAAATCCATACTTGTACGTATTCTTGTACTGGTGCAGAAACTCATGTGCACATTCTTTGTATAAAAGTATACTTGTATACACATGTACATATACACATGTTGCACTCTAAGTTTGTACATGTACATGTTTCTAGGGCATAAAGTGTACTTAATGTACACAATGTACCTATATGTATGTACATGTACAGAATGTGTGCCCTGTCACCTGTGTACGCATGGTCAGGCAGAATGGTACATTCACGTAAATGTTTTCATGTACACGAACAGTGTGTCTCATTTTCAATCTACACCGCACAATACTTGTACTTTTCATGGGATTTTCGTAAAATTGGTGTACTGAAAATATGAAGGCTTGGCATTAAAAAATAAATGTAAAGTGACAATATTTAGAGGGAGGATTCCATCCCACATATTTTTAGGGTGAAGAGGTGTTTTGAGTTTTCTATGTTTTCTCCATTGACAATGTTGGCCTAGAAGGGGCAGGGTCAGGATTCAGGAGGGGTAAGGTAGGGCATGGCACAGCGACGGGCCCGGCAAGGCCAAGGTTTATAAATTGATGGCATTACAATACCAGTATAATTTACATGTGGGTTTTCATATGTACACTGTACATGTACATGGAGGTTATACGTACCGGTACATGTACATTGTATACACATGTACATGTATACACACCGGTCCATTTGCATGGCTGAGCATTGGGTCTGACCCAAGACTTTGATAAAGTGAATCCTCCAAAATCAGACAATTATGGAAGGAGGATTTTGGAGGACCTGGGGAAGTTTGGGTTAATACTTTTTGGAACTTTTTGGGAAATTATACACCTTTGAACAATGTACAATGTACAAGGCAGTGTCTGTACAGTCCATGCCTTGCAATGTGTTGGCACATACTAGTACATGTATATGTACCATATATTCAGTAACAATGTTAGAGTTCTTTTCTGTGCATTTAATGCTGCAGATGGATGCTTCTTGCATGGAATTGGCCTTGGAGGGGGAGAGGCTGTGTAAAGCTGGCAACTGCAAGGCTGGGGTCCAGTACTTTGAGGCGGCCGTGGAGGTTGGGACAGATGACTTGCGTACGCTCAGTGCCATCTACAGCCAGCTAGGGAATGCCTACTTCTATCTACAGGACTACACCCGAGCCTTGGAGTACCACAGGCATGACCTCACATTAGCATGGTAAATTATGACTGGCAAAATGTACCTGATTCTCACGGCGCATCACTCATGTTTTGATGGGTTGTCCTCATGGATGATTTCTTTTTTACTTGGGAGAATATCTGACCTTTCTTTTTTTTTTATAGTGTCTCTGCAATTAGAATCTGCACATTTTACCTGCTTACAGTACGTGTAGTCAAGTTTTTCCACATTTCCTTTGTCCATCATGTACAGTATGTGCTATGCATTGGTGCCATGCATGTGCATGTACACGCAAGTGTGTAT